ATGATGGGAGCGGAGCAAGAGCCTGTCACGGATGTTCAGTTCTCGGAAGGAGTGGCCAAGCTGCGCAGCACGTCCTTCTACGAAGATTATCTGCATCGTGGTTCGGAAGAACCTCTGGCATCCATGTCTTTGTATGTCTACGCCATGCACGTTGTGTGTGTGCATGTCAGGGAGTCTGGTCAGCACGTTCATGGCGAGTTCTTTTTCGAGGAGCATTATTCGAAATCCAAAACGCACGTGCAAGTTCTTCAAGGGGCGCCGCGTGTGCCGTATCTACATGGTATCACTGTTCCAAGCCGTGCAAAAGATGCGTATGTCAGGGCGGTGTCACATCTGTGCCTTTTCAAACCACATCGCTGCTGTCGGAGTGAGTTTTGCGGTCGTCCGGCTGCTGTCGATTATTTCCGATGTGCCACGGTGTCGTTGGATTGGAAGGTCGCAGAGGCTGAGTTGCAAACCTTGGCGGATCGTGCGGATGTTCCTAGGCTCATGTAGAGATACAATGCAAGTGGGTTAAGTGGTCAGTTGAAGGGGTTTAACGTGGAGGGATTGCGGTGTATGCTGCAGGTGAAATTGACGGCGGCGCGCCGATGTGCGACGGTATCTTGTCCTGTTGCTTCTGTACGTCGCGGCTTAGGGCTAGGGGTTAGCCGTTTAATGTTTGGAGATCTACACAGAAGCAGTAACGGAGAAACGCGTGTGCATTGTCGTTGTTGGTATGATTCCACGAGGTGGTTGATTTGGATTCCGTGCGGACGTTTCATCTACCTGAGCATGAATCCAAACTTCCAATGTGCGAGTGGCTGTCGAAACTGCTGCGCACGTCTGAATTCCTTTTTCGATGTGTTTCCAAGCGCACCGTGCGGATGCGGCGAAAACAGAACTTGCGTGGATCTCTGAGATGCATGCCAAAGTTCAGCTCGCGGGTGGTAGAGTGTATCCTGGACTATGTCGGTTTTGTGGTGAGCGACAACGCGGAGCCGATCATTCTGGCTTCTTGTCCGAGTCAGTTGATAGCTTGCCGTGAGCTATGCGGACGAGATGCGCTTGTTGTTTCTTGTGGCTGGCATCCTGAGCAACTGTCTGCTGCGGAATACAATGGCTACATTTGCCGGAATGTCAGCGCTAATCTGGACATGATGTGCGAGGCCCGCAGTCGTCCGCGACCGGGTCTACTTCATCCGAACGCTGCGACAGACGAGAAGGCGGACGTCGGACTTCCGGGTGACGTGGTCGAAGAGGAGTATGGCGATGCGGT